AGAAAGGCACATTCCTTTGTTACAACCCTGGAGAGGGGCATCTACCATATATGTGGGATATTAGCCTTGTCTCGGCAGGTAGAGCAGTCTAAACAATGTAAAATGATTTCTGATTGCTTGCCACAGGTTACTGCACTTTACACATTCCTATTTTCCGTTAGGTCCATTTAGTATCTAAAATATGTTTTTTGGGTTATTGTTAAAACAGGCCTGTGAATCATACAGTAAAGAAAGCACAAATCTCCTAAATTGAAATGAATCCATAATCATTTTAAACCTGTAGTACTTTTTTACATTATTCGTTGAAAGCTGATTAATCTGAATTTATTCAGATTATCTCAACTTTATCCACTTTTCTGAGATGACAAATTGCAAAAATACATAGAAATGCCTGTCTAGCGCATTGTATATTGATCTCCTCTTCTCCAAGAGGAAAACTGTGATTAGTTTTAGTTTCTTTTCTTCTGAAGACATTGAGAAAGCTTTTAAAACCTGATGTGACAATGCTTCTCTGAAAAATCTATCATGCCCAATCATGTGGATAATGCAATATCTCCTGTGCTTGGCAGGGTGAATCATGGAGGTGTTAACTATTCAATATCATGCTGCTGCTGCTGCAGTGTCAGCAGAACCAACAGTCTTTTTTTTTTTGGGCGGGGGTATTTTTTTTGGCAGTGATATACATTCACAGTAAAATTTGGAGGTAAAAAAATATTTCTGTAACCTCTGAATCATCATAATCTGCAGTGGGATACTTTACCAGTGAACAGAGCAGTGTCTGGATATATGAGTTTCTTTTGCTTTGAAATGACAAATTTCATTGCTTAGCAGAGCACAGATATAGAGGAAGTAATCGATCCAGAAGGGCTATTGAGGAGCTCAGCGTGACAGGCCAAGCAGTGATTAATAGACAGCTTTCAGGTGTTTCTCAATTCCCACTATCATTTTATTTTCCCAGTTGGAGCTTGTACAGTCTTATTCTGCAAAGTTGCATTACATAAAAACAGTCTGGACGACGGGAACGTTATTTGTGAGCTTTAAATTCCTTGTTAAACAAAACAAAGAAAACATCAACAATGATATGCACAAAACGAATGACTTGCTGCTTTATAAAAAAAAAACAAAAACAACATATTTCTTACTGCTCTATTTTTTATTATTTTAGGCTGTAATCCACTATATTGGATGCATAGTTAAACTGGCCGCCCAAAGCTCGAATTTTGACCGAATTTAGAATATATGTTGGCAAAATTTTAGTTGTGGGTAGCCCTGCAGGCACCACTTGGTTTTACAAAAGTCAATTTTCCAACCCGGTAGAAAACTATCAGCCAAACAGTGCATGCATCCAAATGGATGTAGTCACTGTTCGCGTATTCTGATAGTTGTGGGTGCTGGCTGTCAGTGTACACTAGCTGGCAGGCAAGATTCATCCATCTGCACTGTTTAGTGTGAATGGGAGGTATCTGCAGGCTGAATGGAGAAAAAAAAACCTCATCATGCATGGCCAGCATTAGTGTAACACAGCTGCTGTCTACCCTGCGGAAAGATACACATATATACTCAGATAAACCCCATTCCTTCCCCCATTTTGCTGCCACTGGTGAAGAAAAATACCAGGTACTTCAGCTTTGAGCAGGTCACTCACTAACCTTCCTTTCACGTGAGAGCAGTGGTGGTTGGTGATTGGTTGCTCAGGCACCCAGCGTTGTCTCATATGGACAGGAAGAGAGTTATTGTGTAAGCTCTAAGTCACAAAATTGAACTTGCAAAGGGCTTCACCTCTTAACTATCACAGACAAAACAGGGAATATGAAAGAAAGGAACGTATGTGCAGCGGGTGGAGCTTAAAGACTAATACCAGGCAAAGCTTCTTTTTCTAGTTGTGGATAGACTAGGGAAGGGTTAGAACGTCTGTCAGGTTTTAAATGCGGTCCCTGATAAGGATAGTATATAGCATTTTTACACTTCCTGTGTTCCCATAAAGGATGATATTAAGTTAGATTTTATCCAAATAGGGGGGATATTCTCTTTTTCTGTATGACACCTCTCAACTGGACAGGAAGTAAACAGAAATCCTGTAAAAGGTTCTTAACTTTCCCCACTCTACCAGAAAGTATTTTTAAGTTTTATTGCTTCCTCTTTCTGTGCTGCCTGACACGCATTAAATGGACAGGAAGTGGATATACTTTCTGTTCCTTGCTGTTCATAATGAAATCTCTCCTGAATGGGGATACATCAACAGTTGACAATAATTTTGTCCCCACACTTGTCTAAATGGAAAAGTTTTGGCTTTGGGGTTTAAAGGCACATTCACAATTGTGGACATATCTTTGATGAGCAGGTGTTGATGGACCAAAAAAAAACCCCACCAGACTTTTATTTTTTGCGCTAAGGTTTAGGTGCTTTCTTTTGAGGGTCAGATTCTACTATCTCCTTAATGCTGATTGCTCAGCTCTCAATCTATAGCGCCGGCATGTGACAGCTGCATTTTAGGATTCCTTAGATCTTTTATTTGGGCTCAGTGAAATATACAGAGTCTGACGAAGGGATCTAATTAATCCCAAAAGCTTACATCTTTAATAACTTAAGTTGAATAAATAAGAGTGTTAATTATAAAAGTTTTGTAAAGTTTCATGCAAAGAAATGTCCATCTGTTTCTTCTACTCTTGTACTCATTGTGTATAACGTATTGCTTAAAATGTTGCTGCTTTTCAAATTAAGGATGATGGTGGTGGTAGTAGTAATAATAATTATCATAATATAACTCTAAAAGCTGTTCAGAACCCATGTTTACTGGTTATGCCCCTGTGCATACGGAAATCAATTTGCTATTAAGTACAATGCAGAGATAAGCCCCATAGCACCAAGACGATAGTAAAAATGAATGGGACTTTTATTAATAATGTATTTTGGCTATCAAATAAAATAAAGCCCAGACCATTGAAATGTAACTAGGTCATTTACAAAGCATCTATTAGCTATTCAGTGGCCTTGACGCATACTCAGTGGAGCCTTCGTCTTATGTCATGCTCTAGTATCCCTGACTGTCTGGTCAGAGAATAATGCTGTGATAAAAGACTCAGTAGTTGATATTGGTGTAAGCTCTTTTTGCTTGAATAAACAGAATTAGTCATGTCTGATGCCTCCTCAATCTTTAAAGAAGCCTCAGTTAAATATTTTACCAGAAGTGTTTAGACTTCAGTGTGCCTGGCCTGCTGTTGCTATCATTTACAAAAAGGTTATTAGACTTTTCCAGCCAAAACCCAGTATGTAATTTTCTGTAATTCGTTTGAAAGTTTTTATAGCTGGGATCTTCATGTTAATAAAAATATAAACTTCAATGCAGATGTAAGCATTTTATAGGCATGTACGAATACAGGACAGAAGTGCTATGCAGGTACAGCTATTGTTGATTTGTAGGTAAGGCATCATTCATTACAGATGATATCCTGTGCATCTTCAGATGAGGATAGTTTATGATGCTGTGCATGTATCAAAAGTTGTGTTTTACAAAGCCTAATGTGTGCTTTTGAGTGTACTGTCACCACCATAGGAAACTGCAAGTTAGCTTTTACCACAGCTTTCCATTGCAATAGTGTGGGACCTAGCTGAAATAGTGTAATCATATTCTCCAGAAGACATAGATAAAACACTTGTAAAATAAATTGTATTAGATTTGGTATCTGCCTCTTGCGATCCTCTGTTCAGCATAGTTTAGACTGGGAGAGGCAGCACGAGGAGCCAAACAGGAGTTCAGCCGTAAATTAATACATTTGGATAAATTGGACCTTAATTTGGTAGTAAATGATGATGGATATTTTCTGTTTTTTTTTCCTCATCAAAGGAAAACTGGCCAAGAATGGTAAAAAATGTTTTAAACTTTAGCTGTATATTTTTGTCATTACCACACCCGAACACCAAAAAAAACCCAAAACAAATTATCCCAACTCCTGATAATGAGGTGATGTCACACGTGTGCATTATTTATTCTTTGCACAGATTATATGTTTTTTATTAATCCTATTTTACACTGACAGTAACACTGATACTGACTTTGGCGCTGACCCTGAATGTCTTTTTTTAATAATCCTACCTAAGACACACTGACACTAACACTGACCTCGTTCAGGCCCTGATCTAACTTTTTATATAAAGATATAAGGTGTAACAGAGGAGAAAGCGAAGCAGAGGTTTCTATGGCTAGTGATCATTGTGATAGACAGTCACAGGCTATCTCAATGGTCATGTGATCAGTGCTGGTCCTCCCTGGCTCCCAATTGTTCATAGTGGACCAATATAAAGTGCACTTCCAGCACAAACACAGGTACGCATATATGCAGCCCCATGGAAGAAGGTCCACTTCCATGAAGCCACGTACACAAGGGGTTATACAACTCCACATGTATATAATTGAGCTGTTTATTTAGTGCTTTACCTGGAGTCTACCTAAATGCAGGGGATGCTAATCATATGTAGCCACATGATACAGATGACCACTTGAGGAAGCATTTACAAGTGTGTGTGTATATGAATAACTATGATTACAATATAGAATAGAAAGCAAATAGTCATGTAAAAAATTACTATAATGCAAACAAATCAGAATGTGTACATACTGGAAATACACCAAATATTCTCTTTAAGGGTTACTCGCCTGTATTCTCATAATGCCTTTTTACAAACATTGATAGGATGACGGCAGATATGTCTGTCAAGTTGACAATGGAGAACAACTTGTACTGCCATTTGATGTTTTATTAGTTTCAGAGCCCTCGTCAATTGGCCAAGCTGCAGCTACATTATGTACGAGCCCTGCTTTTATTATTACAGCATAAACATAACATCAATTTAGACAATTTCGCACCAACAGCTCCATTTGTCAAGTAAACAAATATTATTTTTGTAACTGAATAAAATTCCTACCTGCCACTTTGCTCTAAATGTAATTTTCGGCTCGGTCACCCGGTAAAAGAGTAACCCAATGTCTCATCTCAATGCAGGAGCAAACTCTGGCTCTCCGGAAAGAGGGGATTGGTGTCGTGTTGGATTCTGAGCTGCCTCATCTCATTGGCATTGATGACGATCTTCTAAGCACCGGCATTATATTGTATCACTTGAAGGTAAAACTTGTGTCTTTTCTCCTCGCTATGCTGTCGCCTTTTTAATCTCTAAGAATTGTACACCAGCTGATCTCACTTTAATCTACATGCCATACCCAATAAATGTCAAGGTGTAGACTCAGTCTGATCTGAGTGCATAGATGCAAATGTTTCATAAAGCAAAGACTGAAGAATATTTTCAGTCTGAAATGTTGGATATTGGAATGAACAGCAGATTATCTACCTCCAGCCCACCCTAAATTAGTTTTTAAAATGAACCTGAGCTTCATTTAGTGGTCTTAAACCTTAGACATGTAAAGCAAACATCTAAACATGCCTGCCCATATGTTCACCTACCTTGGGCCCTGATGCAGAGATAGCAGTTATATGCAAATAGTGACTTTCTTACTTGTAGCTGCTTTGCCCTGCTCCATTCTGCACACCAGTGTTGGTCCCATCACTGTGATTGGCAGTGATCCTTTTTTTCCACAACCGTAACCGTCCATTGACTCCAACTAAGAACTCACTGACCATAACTTTTCATCATTCCTGTATATGAGTATACAAGTTTTATGCTTGCCAAGTCTAGGCTGAGCACCAATATGCACACATGTTTTTTTTAATGTCTTTAATAAAATATTATGTTTTTATAAAGTTTTTAGTGTCTGTGAAGGTCATGTAATTTGCCTAAAAAGCCCTCCTATGACTCTTAGCACTTAATATTTTGGCTTTGGAAGTGTCTCTTTTGTCTATTTAGATGTACATGCTTCCCAAACCACGGCTCTGGGCAGAGTGGAGGATCAAATTGTTGCTCTGGGGCCCTATAATTTGTAGTAATCTTCTAGAACAAGATGGGTCCTTCAGCAGTAGGAGTAGTTGGAGTTCATGGAGTGGTGAAGCTTTGGAAATTGCACCTGAAGGCAAAGAAACTTCAAACCTATTATTTCTGATCACTCCTTTAGGAAATGTAGTTAATGATGCGTAATTGTAAATATAGTAGATTTGTATAAATTTTTGAGGTAGGCCCTCGTACTACATAGGTTGGTAATTCTAAACAATAGTCTACAGAGAGTGTACAATTGGATTGTAATGTGTGCGACTACCTTAAGATTCCCATAGGGGGTTCAGTCCAAGGGCATCCAACAATAAGTGGAATATCTGCTTTGGATGAACTGGACCTAACAAGTAAAAAGAACATAAAGACATACAGTGTATACATACAGTGGTGAAACATAATGATAACCCTAGTATTCATTTTTGAAAGTGCTTATTCACTCAAAAAATAACAATGGACATTTAAGCTTGTATGTGATGCTAACATTTATATGAAAGTGCTGGAAATGGTATATTCTTTCTATAATGGCTGCACTATAAATTGTATTATAGGTAAGAGAAGTACCACATTAATATAGATGGGGATTCTTGTGGCATGTTACATAACAATATGCATTCTTATCTGAGGCTTGACTTGCCGGCGCATTTAGCTTGAGGTGCGATCTTAATGATCAGTAGACTCGCAGCTCTTTGTTAGTGAAGGTAGGAGTATGGAGATGCACTTACTGTGCAATAGCAATGTATTGCTGCAGGAGAATCATTGGGAAATGCCTTATTTCACAAATGTATGCTGAATAAGACACACTTTTCAGCAGTACGGTACATAGCTTAGGGTTGTCTAGTTCAATATCAGTAGTGTATTTTTAGTGACAGTTTTCCGTTAAAGTCGATGTACCATATGTAAATGCGTTGCTCATTTGGAGCAGAGATCCATAGGAAATGTTTACATTTAAAGTGAATTTACAGACATGCTAGACTATTTTTTTCCTTTCACAGTATCTCTGTGATCTGCAAATTTTATTATAATGGCTAGACACTGGCTGTCTCAGAGAGGACCAGGAGATTGTAATTATAAAGTGACCCTCCTGCATGTTTTGCCGTATTTGACATTGATTTACCTAGTATGTTGAACAATTCACTTCACTCCCACGCCACAGTGTAGTTTACAGTCTAACGTCCCCACCAGTGTCACACAAATATTTTATAGGGCTGTTTTTCGGTCAGAAGCCTTTTGTAGTGCAGGTAAAGCCAAAACGTTGTTTTATTTAGAGTAGGTAATGGTTTAATATATCTAAAGGCTTCTGTGTGGCAGTCTAAACAGGTTTCAAATACATTTTACTATGTAAGCCTCATAAATTAAAAGAAAAAAAAAACTTTTTACCTCCCTTGAGTAGGACAAATGCTTATTCTTGTGTCTCACACATGGCTATGACCCCGGAACCCCACCCCAACACTGCAGCCAAAAATGGGATGGCTTCAGCAACACAGTCAGTTCTGCTTATCCAGAAAGCAGCGAGTAGGACTATGTGTGGCCAGGTGCTGATTTACATTCTACAGGCTTAAGAATCAGCAGTGACAATTCCTGTAGCCAAGTTCCCTCATAATAGTGCAAGGGACAACCCTACTCTGGATTCAGGAGCAATGTAATATTGTGATGAGCGTACGACCCCATTACAGGAAGCTGCATTAGGTGGACTTCACTGGCAGGATCAACATGCATTTGTAGGGGAAATCAGGGAGAACTGTAAGTACAGATGCACTTAGGCTACATTCACACTAGGCTTTGTGCTGCGGCTGTGAATTCCTGCCACAGGATTTGCAAGTGTGTCCATACAGATGCCTGTGCAATAACATGCGGACATTCACTGACAGATGCAGCCTCTGTCAGCCTGTCATTCACTTAAACGGGCACAACGGCCGCATCTGTACTGCAAGAATCCACAGGTTCTTTCCACAGGAATCCCCAGCTGCAGTCTTCAGCCCCGTGTGAATGGGTCCTTACAAATAAGTGCTGCTGCTCATATCTTTTTTTTTTTTTTTAACCCTTTTTGTAATTTATTTTTATTTTTTTCCCAATGGTCCACACCCCCTGCTTTGATGTTTTAGTCTCCTCCCGCTGCCTCCTGGGATACAGACGCTACAGGCATTACTTCCCTCATTTGCAGCAGTATATGTACACAAAGGCAGTGCCAGATCTTGCACATGTGCAGACAGAGATTTGGCACTGTTTGTTTACATATTGTTCTATGAACAGCGAAAATTAAAAGAGAACTAATGGGGTAACCTTTTTATCCCATAGTTCTCTTGAGGGTCATGGGAGGACATATACTAGCGTCCTCCCGTGACCCAAAGCTCAGCATATACCCAGATAGCAAGCAATTGAGCTGCAAGTTTGAAAATGACTTGCTAAACTAATGCAGACTTGCCAAGCTTCACAATTTTGTTGCACAATTACATCAAGTCTGCATTGCAAGTCTCCAGACCAGCGAGCTTGCAGAGCTCTTGCTGTAGACTTGCCAAGCAAATTTGCTACAAATTCAAAAAGTGTCAACTAGAACTTGTGCTGCAAGTGTTCTGCAAGTCTACAACTTGCCAGGAATATGTGCAGGAAGTTAACAAAATTACAATTTCACCCTGACACAAGTTTGTAGCAAGTTATCCTTGCTATCTGGGTAGCGAGCTATTGCTCACTATACACTGAGAGTGCCACAGCCGGGATGGATCCCGACAATACTGTAGAGATCCACCCAGCTGCGTGAGTGACGGCTGGCTCTGCCTATCTAAAGACAGAGCCAGTTGTGCCCTCCCCCATCCATTTCTCCAGTCAGCACCTGATCTATAGAGCCGACATGTGACAGTTTCATTGTCACACATCGGCTCGAACTATGAGGTTGAGTGAAAATCAATCACCTCATAGTTCTCCTTGAATTCCTCCTGGGATATGTGACATCAGTATCCCAGGAGGCATTACTGTCCTTCATTTAGAGAGCAATATGTAGACAGACAAGGCACCAGATCACTGCACATGTGCGAGATCTGGCGCCGCATCTGAGGGCCAGCTGCAAAAAGCAGATCGAGACAGCCAGCACCCTGTGGCAAAATAAGGGTTTTAAGCCTTCCCTGGTCTGTCTAAAACGAAAAAAAAAGTTTTGAATGTGGATATGATCCGCAAACGCCCTGGTGTGAATGGGCTCTTATGTTGTTTAGGCCTAAAAATGCCACTTTGTTTTGCAAAACATTACTCTGTTACCAAATACCTTTTCTGAGTAGATTTAGAACATTTAAATACTTACATCTTGAACCTTGCCGCACCTTGCCGTTTTGTTCTGATCCACGGATTTAATAAGAGTTAGCTAAAGGTTAATATGGACTAAGATGTAGACAATTCCTTTGCTGATGGTAACTCTGTACAAGACTGGCTTTCCCATCCCTCATGCCTACTGCAATGAGTGAGGGTCTCTGTGTCAGCCAAATCTGCAAAGTGTTTTGTATACTAATGTGTACACGTCTGGCAAACACGCCAGAATAGACTTGGCATGTTTGCTAATCTGTACAATGATCATTTCATTGCAAACATCTCTGAATAGTAATTTAGGGGTAAGAACAGTGACATTTTATTGAACTGCCCTAATAAATGAGTAAATGGCAACGGGCAATAATATAAAAATCTTAATTTTCCTGTTTTTCAGGAGGGCCGCACATATGTGGGAAGGGAAGATGCTGCATCAGAACAGGACATAGGTAATACACAAAATCTGATTTATTTTTACTTTAACAAAAACCTTATTTATCTCTTCTGCCCCTTGACTCGCCCCTTGCTGCAAGGATTGACTGTAACTTGATGGTCACAAGCAGTGATTGAAGAGGAAATATCATGAACCTTGATTAGGAGATGAATGGCTTCCCATATACGAGCCATACACACAATGTTAGACCACATTTTCATTGCAAAAGCAATTGAACAAGTCAAAGCAACCTAAATAACACCTAATAGGCCATCTCCTGCACATAATGCTGAGCTTCCAGGCACTGAAGAGAGGGAGAGGTGCAACCTGAGCTGTACAACGCTCTAGTCGCATCACCTGCCCCTTCTCACTATAGTCATTTACAAAAGTCTTGTATTTTTTGAAAGGATGCAAGACATTCTGTGATTGTAGGAGGAGCAGGTGACGTGACCGGAGTGATATACAACTCAGGTCGCTTCTCTCCCTCTCTACAGAGCCCGGAAGTTGGACATTGATGTTTGAAAGTGGAAGATGCTAGAAAACAGCTGTGTGTGCAGCCATTCTTAGTACTTAGCCACATTCCTGGCAACATAATATTACACACCACACTGGGTGTGTTCAGAGGGCAACTGCAATGTATAAAAATCTTACCTTACAGCATGCCATTACCTGCACACAATGCCCAGCTTCAGGGCACTGAAGAGAGGGAGAGAAGCGACCTGAGCTGTACATCACTCTGGTCACATCACCTGCTCCTCCTCGCTATCGTCCATTCACAAGACATTCTGTAATTGGAGAAGGAGAGATGATGTCACATCCCCGCCCCTCCTCTCCTCCTACAATCAAAGAATGTCTTGCATCCTTTCAAAAAATACATGACTTTTTGTAAATGATGATAGTAAGATGGGCAGGTGATGTGACTAGAGAATTGTACAGCTCAGGTTGCACCTCTCCCTCTCTTCAGTGCCTGGAAGCTCAGCGTTATGTGCAGGAGATGACATGGTGCATGACAAGATCTTTGTTATGTGCAGAGGGCGGCTGCAATCTATACATAGCTTTTTTTATTGATACTTTACACACATACTACGGAAAAGGACCTTTGCTCTCTCTGTGTGAAAGCAGTGGTCTTTCTGTAGAGTCCCTACAACGCTCTGATGAATTAGAACACAACAGCAATGGAATATTATTAGTTGTGCAACATTTCATTGATTTTTAGATGCTTAGTCACCTAGTCGGTTAAGGGATTTTTCAGTAAAGCACATTTTTTGCAGCAAATAACACTGGGGCAGAAGTTTGGACAGGTCTTCCTACTGATAGGTGGTTGTTATAATAGTTTGGCATTTGCTCCATGTATGCATTGTAGCAGGGCAGTGTTTGATAAAAGTAGACCCAGTTTAATTTAAGAGCAGGGCTTTATAGGCTGCAAGTTTGACACATCTGAAACATCATCCAATATTTCAAATGTGTTGAGGATGATAGCTTCACTATGCCACCAGGGGCTGACTAAGTAAAATAGAGCTGTTTTATTGACATGTGGCCTGTAACATTTACACATGTTCATATGTCAGGGGTGGCCCACTGTGGTTAAATCGCTTTGTAAGACCAGGCACTTTTAAGTATTTGTTAAGATATTGATTATCTTCAGTGCACAACAGAAATGGCACATATGGTTTAGTGTCCAAACATTTATTCACTACAGACTAAAGTGACACCGTATTGAAGAAAGCATTGAAACTGCCATTGCAGGCCTGCAGAAGAAAATGCAAGTTGCTCACGGTGGCTTTGGCTTTGGATATCATTTTTTTTTTTTTGCTATTTGTGTTTTCAGGGATTTTACTTTTACTTTCTGTCCAAAAGCAAAAGAAAGTGAGGGAAATCCCATGTCCCCATTGGAAGATTTCCCCCTGTATTCCTGTTCTGATGACCAGACCAGAAAGATTCTACACTAGCCTTTTGCTCTCTCTGCCTGCCATTTTTGCACAGTGCTTGAGGCTCAGTGACTGCACAACTGTCTGATATGGTTCAGTCCTGCATGTTGTAAGAAATTCCATTGGTTACTGCTCTATCATTATCGGCATTTCTTGTGAGCTCCGGCAGCCATGTTTCAGCAGGACAGGAATGATCCAGCTCTGGCCTGCCTCACGCTACATCAGTCCCATAAACTGAAAGCCAGATTCAGACTTCATACCAATCACATTAGTTATTTAAAATTATTGTTATAGTCAGAAGACTATGTAGATTATATTTGTGGTAAATGTCAGACTCTCTGCTAATTTCATATTTATATCTTTCATAAAATAAAAATATGTTTACAAATCTGTTACCATATTAAAGCCTTAGAGCAGCAAAAAAACAAACAAAACACCTAATCTGTTCTTAGGATAAACTTCAAATGGATAGAGCTATAGTGAACTAAACTTGCAAACCTCTTGGAAATGGAGAAAAAAAAAATCTTAACCCTTGTGTGCCGTTCTGGGTCCTCAAATTGGAACTAGAAACTAGCAGATGTATATCCTTTGTGCTTTTCTAATAGTATACAAACTACTCTAAATGCATTGCAGCAGAATATTTTGTTTTTATGCCTGCAATAGTCATACTCATCCTTATCTTCAAATCACAGTTCTGCATGGGCTCGATTTGGAAAGTGAGCATTGTATCTTTGAAAATCTCAATGGCAGAGTAACCTTAATACCACTGAATGAAGCACAGTGCTCTGTAAATGGAATCCAAATTTTAGAGCCTTCTCAGCTGAACCAAGGTAAGTCATAGACGTTTATTGCAGTATTAGACATCTTGTTTTTTTTCTTCCTGATAAACTTGTTCAGAAAAGGCTCAGTGGTACAATTGATATGTGATTTATCACCTGCAATCCCTATTCCATACCAAAGTCTGTTCTACCAAGTCAGGGGGCGGGGCAAAGAAAAAACATTATAAAAAGTGCTTTATGCGCCTGATTTTATTTACTTTTTTAATTTTTTTTCCAGTCTTCTTTCCTTTTTAATGGTGGCTTAGCATCAGTCTATGCAGGGGCAGAGTTGCCCTCCCAGCATGCGTGTTCTCTGCTGCCTACAAGTGTTAATGCAGGTAGATGGTGTGCTTGCAAGTGCAACTAACCTCTCCCTGAAGGACAAGACTCAGGATCACCCACTGACAGCAAGGGAGCATGGGATCACCTCGTGTCATTGTTTCCCTGCCATAATCCCTTACAGTCTCCACAAAATGACAGTTTCTGAGCCACTTAGGACTTGGGGTTGTAATTGTCGGCACCAAAAACCTCTTCAATGATTATATGGCTTACTTAATGGTAGGTTGAAGAATGTGACTGTCTGTGACTGTCCTTCAAAACATCACAAGGAAGAAAGCATTGTGTACAGATGCCTACTGGGGGCTCCTCTAGGAGGTAGCCCGTGGAAAAACCTCTACCACCTATAGTAAACTACACATTCTACATTGTTTCCAAGTGTGCTTGATGAAAATGTGATGCCATATGTCCAAGATATAAAGTTTAGCTGGAAATTATTCTTTCAACTAGGGATGCACCAATACTGATACTAGTATTAGCGCTGATAAGTATTTGGGCAAATAGTCGTACTCGCCCAAATGCTCTGATACCTTCCCCGATACCGGAACTTCCGGTCAGATGGAGATTTCCTGTGACTGGCAGTGCCGCAAAGGAACATAGAGCTGGCTTCCCGGCCAATCGGGAAGCTGAGTGGTGGGTTCCTGATTGGCCGGGAAGCTGGCTCCATGCTGTTTTTTTGGCTCGATGTTGATTGGCCGGGAATCTGGCTTCCTCACTCAGCCAGCCTTCCGGCCAATCAGCATCGAGCCAGCCAAACAGCATGGAGCTTGCTTCCCGGCCAATCGGGAAGCTGGGTGGCGAGTCATTACCTGCCACCCGGCTTCCTGATTGGCCCGGGAAGCGGACTCCATATTCCCTTGTGGAAAAACTGGTATCAGTGCATCTATACTTTCAACATTATAATGATCCATAGTACACTAGCAAACCAACCAAGGAATGGCTCAAAAAGGACTGCCTAGCCAAAGCCCTGATTTGATTTCCATTGAAATTTTGTAGGGGGATTTTAAAACGGGCAGTTCATGTAAGGAAACCCAAGGACACCTTTCAACTAAAGTTATTTTGCATAGAGAACTGGTCAGAGTCTGGTAGGCAGTTATACAAAACACCTACAATAAGTAATTTACTGCTATAGGGGCCTGCCCCAGCAAATGGGAAATCCAGATTGGTACCTTATCTGTTAGGGAATCTGTATAAGGTCTTATATCTGGCTATTCATGGCTATCCACAACACAACCTTTTCACAGTACTATGCACAGCTTTTTGAAAAAAATCAAAACATAGCCTAGTTCTCCACCTGCTAGCTACAAGTGGTAAATATAATATATTCATAGTCATATAATATATTCATATGCAGTGTTTTAAATCTATCCGACTACTTAAAAGTAAACGTTTTTCATCCTTGCACATAGCAAATAAGGAGAATATATGCAAAAGTACACTACACATTCCTTTTGTACAGAATTTTGCAAGCAGTATTCTTGTATTCTTGAAACTGAATATAATTATACTGCTTGGTTGTAATACAAAGTTACTGAGCTGATGACTCTGGGAGTGACTGTAAGATGATCTCTTAAAATTAATATTTTATAGAGCTTCCATAGTTTTTTTTTCTTATCTTTTTGGTCTGTAAAATATATTTAAATTGTAAAATTGAATTGACACAACAAGTATCATTTTTGTAATTTACATATACATTGATATTGATTTAGCATTTTTTTCCAGGATAAAATGTAAAAAGTTCAACAATGCCAGTGCATAATTTTATAGTTTCAAAGCAGAGCTACAGGTACCGGGGTTTCATTCTCCCACCTCTGTTGAATTGGGTACGCTGTTAATGACAGGCACAGCACCGGAAATCTGCAGTCCATACTTTTCTTCATGCTACCGACTTCTTCACCGCATTCATTATTTTTGTAAAAACGTTATACATCTGCGCACAGGTCTTTGTATAAAAAGCTCTTTCACTTTATTGCATAAAAATTGCAATACAAAACAGTAAAGCTCCTGTTTCAAGTCCTGCCTAGCCCTTTGTCAAGCTGTTTTTTTCCTAGCTTGACGAGGACTAGACATGGCTGGAAAAGTTGCTATGTGAAACAAGAGCTTTACTGGTTTGTAATTTATGCAATAATTTGAAAGAACTTTTTATATGGAGATAGATCCGTGGTGTGCGGATGTCTGTTTTTGCATATTTGAAGCTGAAGAAGGAGGTTTAATACTAGCACTTAGCAGTGGATAAGGTGTGTGTGTGTGCTCTGAAGTGCAAGTGCATTTATTATTTAAGCTTCAGTGACTTCTGAACTTGCTGCTTGTCAAAGTGTTTTATGGTAGTTCCACAGTCTGGAGGTAGCGCTAGAGCTTAAAACCTCTATATTCGTCTCGTTATAGATCACTGGCAATATTAGGAAGATTAGCTTTTGCTGCTTAGATAGATGATGCTACATGTAACTTAGTCATGCCTGAAAGTTTTAGTAATTATGGTAGGGAAGACATGGAGTCAGTAGGGCACACCAAATGCATACAATTGGTAATTTTTGCCATATTTTTTTTCTGTTCGATACAATTACTAACAGGGTTGTTCACAAGTGAGTGAAGAGTTTGGAGAAGGCAGGAGAAGGGAACCAATTCAGCTCACTTTCCAGTTCAGCTATGTTGTCCTAGTTTGTTCACTTCTCCTGCCTTCTCCAAATTCTTCACCCTTTTGTGAATTACCCTTTAAAAATTCCAGACCTTATAAGGTGGAGGAGATCCTTTTAATAATTATGCCATGCCTAGGACACATTGTAATTGTCCATAAAAGAAACCTGGGTACAAATTTAGAAGCTGCCATTGCTGACTTTGGTTTTGGCGTTGCATACTCCAGGGATGTCCTGTCCATCCGTGTTTCAATACATGATGAGTCAGTGACCTGAAAGAAGCCTGTAACTATACAGTATTCCAATGCTTATTTCAAGACAGTGGCTCCTACAAAAAAACAAATGGTATGTAGGATTAATATGTAAACCTCAAGTTTCAATTTTGGTTTTTGTTTTGCATTGAAAAATAACATAAGATTTTTGTAACATAATGCAGTATCGTACAATGGGAAAATAATTCAATTTGATGGAAACAAACCCCAACTATGAAGGAATGTCTTACCCAGGTTGATCAGTAAAGGCAAAATTGAGAAATACTATATGATAAACGCAACAGATACACTGTCTTGGGCGTATCCCAATAGACCATCCCAAACTCAGAAACCACTTTTCTTCATGCCAGCGGTGTAGTAATTGTCAGCTAGACTTTTGTGTATCATTGGCGATGTGGATCCCTTTATAGCCCATATGTTTAGGTTTTCTGTTCTCTTCCCCTCCTTCTTTTCCCCTCTCCCCCACCCAATTTTTTTCATTCTCATGCCCTCCCCCATTCTTTTTTAATGCAACTCTTTCCAGTTCCAGGTTCCCCCCTTGTTTATTGTAATAACAACATTTTTTTTAATTATTATTATAACAGGGTTATGATAAAATTATTTTTTATAACTGGTATTATAATTAAAAGTACTTTATTGTGGTCTTATTTTTTATTTATTTTTTACAGTTTTGTCTCTGCCAATGCACATTTAGGTATAAAGAAAAAGAATACAGTTTACAGGGAATATGTTTTTGGTTAGGATTTGCTGTGCATTTAGAAGTTTTAATTTTTGCAATTAGGCAAGCATGAGCAACCCTCTCTAAGCGGCATATGAGCACCAAAGCAGAGCCATCACCTTGTTCTCACTAGCACCTTTGAGATAAGTGTATTGAGACAATCCGCTCAGTAAAATACTAATTTTGCATTGCAAAAAATGGAACGTCTGCAGCAGCACTGGTCTTTGTCCATGCTGCAGCTCACATTCACCGTAATGGCTCTTCCTGGCAAACCTCTTCCAGCAAGAAGATCAGAGCATCAACAAAAGGTCACTGAATGCAAATAAACCAAACCTTTTCAAATCACCACTTTCTTTTATTGGAGTTAATCCTGCTTGATTTAGATAATCCGTTGCTTGCTTGGGCTGATTTTTGTTATTTTTTTTCAGTAGGTATCAATTTATTTCTTTGCTAGGCTTATTCAATTAAAAAGAACGCCTGCATATAAGTGAGGAAAAAATATCTTGTGAGTGAAATGAGCTATAGTACATAACACAACCATTATGCTTAACCTTCCGCCTAGTACATCACTTTGCCATCTGTTTTTGTTGTTATTATTATTAACACACATTTCTCAGATTGCTGCGCTGATCAAAGTTACATGAAAATATGAAACTACGTGCAGTGGTTTTCACTGAATGAGCTAATGAATAGCTTTAGAAACTTTAATGAAAGGTTAATAATCAGGTTATGTTCCCCCTGTAGGAACATATATAATTGTTTTAGTCCAATGACAGTAATAACTAAATTTGTGATGCTGATTGTAAACTCTACAGTCATGGTTTTTTTTTTTTATTTTAAATCTTGCTAGTCTTGACACCAAAAGAGCCAGATTGTTGGAATATTGGAAGGTGTAGTTATTGGAAGGAGTAAGTGGACCTCAGTCGGCTTTGAGACACCCAGCTGGTCGTAAGCAGATTAAAGGAACTGCAGGGTTGGCTGGACGGAAAGGAAGCCAAGATGTTTTTCTACGAGGGTTGGAAAAAATGAAACACTTTTACTTTGGTTGACTTATTTTGCCAAATTTGTGTATTTTCTAAGAATTTGTCATGCAAGAGTATTATATTGCATTACATCACTATACACTATACAAGATGCAGAATTTAAGGCTGTAAAGATTATCCTTGAATCATCTGCTGGTCATTAGTGCTCTGGGAGCTATACACTACCTTTTGGATTACCTGAGAATGTGTGTGTTATTCATTCTGTTGTGTATAATCTTTTTCCTTCTGACTGACAGGTCCTCTGTGTGGCAGTTTCCCTTGTGACCGGGCAGATTTAATGGCATTTTCCTCAGTGACTGAGTGGTGTCTTGTGTTATTTTCCCATCTGACTGACCAACATCCTATTTGTCATTTGATGGAGGTGATGGATGCGTGTTGCACGTTTCCCCTCCTGTGATGGATGTTGCTAGTATTTTCACATTGTCAGTAGATGACACCTGAATGAAAAATATGTGTAGCATTTTGCTCATGCAAAAAATCTCCTGTGATCATTTCATCTGTGATCAATGGAGCAGATTGATATGTGATAAGGCTACATTAACATTACTGTGTTTCCATATGTAGCAGTTACTATGCAGTGTGCTTTGGGTGAGCATTAGGTTGGTTCTATTCACATTTTACTTATGTTATCATTGACCCCCTACAGAAGGTGCATTTTTGTTGGAAAGCTCACCAAAGATGGAGCAAGAAGGATTTTAACAGCCCACTGAAATACACAGATGTGAATGTATCTTTATTGGATTGCTACAGATTGATTCCTCTGTGACATCAGTGTATACTTTAATACCAGATACTTGGCAGGAGGCCTGAACTGCATTAGTCAAAAGATTGAACCAGATTTTAATTGTATTTTTATATAAATAATGTGCTTCATCTGCATTGTATAGGATGAGTAGCAGTCTTCAGGGGGCGGTGCCTAGAATTAATATACCTTCTTTCTATATTTTTATAATAGTGTCATATTTCTCATTTTAATGTACCCCTTGATAGACAGTATTTATAAATGTATCCCTGATAAAAGGTCACACAAACAAGAGAAAAAGAGAAATCACAGACTGTGCCCAGTCTAGTTTTATTCCAAGTCGGCACAGGATATAAGATAAAGCTCTGTCTTGTATCTTTTTGGAATTTTGAAAAAGGTTTTTAGAGGACACAATGGGGGGAATCTATCAAAGCAAATGCAACAGTTTTAGCCTCTTGGATAATTTTTTTTTAATGTGCATATCTGTCTTTTAACATGTGCCCGTTTTGACCAGAGCTTGCTCTACTTTTTCAATTGCCTGTTTCTTGCACATGTTTTGCAACTGTTTTCATCTTCACTTGTTCTGCGGCTGTCTGAAACTGAGCATTACCTAAGAAAACGATCACAACTTAAGAAGTCCCAATGACCACTTCTTCAAGAAGCAACAGTTGAGCTTTTTGTCTGCAGTTACAAGTCTTCTTTCCCGGGGTCTATTAAACCTCATTTATGAAGAACATTACACTAGTATCATAAATCTGGTGCAAAGTGCATCAAATACATTGCGTGCAAGTTCAAACACTCGCAATTGCTATGATAAATCCCCCCCCAATGTTTTTTTGTTGTTGATTTTTCTTTCATTGACTGTTGTCAGGGCTAGGACCAAGCTATGGCTATGTGTGGACCCACCCGAATGTGGTGTTATATACATATTTAAAGTATGCCTTGACATGCATACATTTATTTTGTAATGTACTCTTAAGTGTTTGTAATATGTAATATATTTTTACATTGTTTTGCTAGTTTCTGAAAACTCCAAACTGTACGATTAACATACTGTTAGAAGTTAACAAATATCCCCTTAGTTCAAGAGAAGTACCCCTGGGGTGCACATGCCACTTGTTAATAACCATTGTTCTACACAGTCATGTTTTCCGTGTCCCAGTGCTAGTAACGACTCCTGAATTTATTCTACCTTTATGACCCAAAGTGGTGGGAAGGTGTACAGAGTCATTCAGGGTTGCGTCCCAGCAGAGATTTTCATTATTATTTTTCATATGACAGTCACTTTATTGTGCATTTTTATATTTCACCTTTTGTACTTTGAGTATTGAAAAGCTGTTGTGCGTAAGCTAGTTTTGTTTCTACCTGACAGCCAGAGACTTAACATAATGAGTCTGCTCAGTTGTGTATGATGGTTTAATTTTATTTTGCTGACATACATTGAAGTCTTCACAGCAATTTAATAGAACGTTGACCTCAGAAAGCACTTCTGTTTTACTTTTGTGATTTTTCTATGGCAGTCTGTAAAAGGAAGTAAAGTAACACATGCAATCCAATATTAATGTTTGTTATAGGATTGTGTAGGTGGGCATCATCATTCTTGCCTTGCAGCTTTGGGTCCTAGGCTTAAATCCTACCAAGCATGATGCTGTCTGTATGTTTTCTCCATAGTTTTATAGTGTTCTACTATTTCCAAAAAAACATACTGGTAGACTTCTTGACCTCCACCCAAATTGTCCCTTGTGTTTGGTGTAGATTTTACAACATGATTTGATGTAGTGTTTTGTCCTACGTTTACAATTTTTTATTTTTTTTATTAAGGGGCTGTCATCCTCTTTGGTAGGACCAACATGTTTCGCTTTAATCATCCAAAAGAAGCAGCCAAATTAAGAGAAAAAAGGAAGGTAAGAACACACAACTGTCTTTTTGGTTTGGCTTTTTTCATGCACAAGTCATTTAAGTGAGTATATTTTGATTTTAATGAGCTAGAACAATTTAAAATGAACTCCTGCTTTGCCCATGGAGGGCAAAGCAACATGTTCACTTTAATGCACGATCACCTGCATATACTTGGCTCCCCTGCCACTATGGTACCACTGGGTATTGGGACCATGTGACTCACTCCCTTCCTTCATGTGATAGCCCTGTGTTGGCTGATTCACACGGGGCAGTGAGAGCCTTCAGCCCTGTGTAGCTCAAACTGAGATGCAAGTAATGCTTACTTGGGGCTTCTTCTCGTTAGGTTGACTTTAACTATACACAAGTTTTAAGCACTCTTAATATATACAATATATTAATAAGCTGATGGTAAAATGTTCTCTTTTCTTATCCAGCTAGTTGTCCTCTGTACAGTCCTTGACAATAAAATTAATCTTATTTATTACAGGCATTTATATAGCGCTGATAATTTTCATGGTGCTTTACATACTGTACATTCACATCAGTCCCTGCCCTCAAGGAGCTTACAATCTAAGGTCCCCATCTCGCATGTATGCACACATACTAGGGCTGATTTAGACAGGAGCCAATTAACCTATGACCATGTGTTTGCAGTGTGGGAATAAACCCACACAAACACAGGGAGAACATGCAAACTTTATGCAGATAGTGTCCTGGCTGGGATTTAAACTGGGGGCCCCAGTGCTGCAAGGCAGAAGTACTAACCACCCTGCTGCCCTATATTTATTTAAACATGTTAATAATAATGTATTGGAATGTGACTGACTATGCTGCTTATTCCAGTGAAGAATGCACTTTGTGATTCAATTTGCGTATAGGAATCAAGATTGATAGATTTCTATTGTTTTCTCCCCAGAGTGGCCTTCTGTCCTCTTTCAGTTTATCAATGACAGATCTGTCAAAATCATGTGAAAATCTCTCAGCGGTAATGCTTTACAATCCCGGGTAAGAAAATGAACTTGCTGACATTTCTCATACTGTATACAATCCTAAAATATTCTACAAAACTCAATGTGAACTTGCAAATCTCTGCTGGAGGTAACATGTCACATTAACCAGGGTGACCCAAATACTAAAGGCTGTTATAGAGACTTTATTGTGCAAGAAATATTGCTTCAGTGAACCGACAAACTGTTGGCCTTTCCTTTCTGTATGTCATATGTCATAACAACACAGTTTAAGGGTTTTTTGACTGATATATTTAATCTCTTGTACATTTTGTACTGCTTGATAAAATTAGCCTTGCATAGCCCAGAGTTCAGTTCCAGGTAGAAAGTAAAATCAATCATCGAACAGCTATGGTATCCAAGACACACGG